TGTTGACCAGGATGGTCTCGATCTCTTGACCTCGTGATCCACCCGCCTCGGCCTCCCAAAGTGCTGGGATTATAGGCGTGAGCCACCGCGCCCGGCGATGTTTTGTCTTTATTTGTATCCCAAGTATTTGTGGTGTGACAAGAGTGCTGAGTGTAAGTCCCTTACACTTCTGGTAGAAATAAAGACCATGTAGGCACAGAGTCCCTTACGCTCAGCGCTCTCGTCTAACTAATGCTAATAATGAGCCCAGGGGGAGCAACATCAGCATTGAGAGGGAACATATTTGAAACACCCATCCATGGACCCTTTCCAAACCTGCAGAATCACATGACGTAGAGTGAGACCAACATTATCAAGTGATTTTTGAGCTCATTAAAGTTTTAGAGGCAAAGCTTAGCTAAGTGGTTACCAGCCCAGGCTTCTCATTTGGATTCCATGGCCAATTTACAAAAATCTCTTTACTTGTATCATTTCCACAGGTTCTGTTTATTGTTCTAGGTGAAATTATTTATTGCGTTTTTATTGTGTCTCATGTGACTTTGAGATGAGGCCAGAATTAAGTCTGAGAGGTTCAAGATACATTCATGAGAGTAAAGTTTCACCTTTGCACTTGGTCACAGGGACTCTTCTGTTTGGTTTTTATGGGGAGAGGTCAGAGTGACCCGTATTTTCATTACTGTAGCAGAACTTGCTGGTATTTGTGGCAGGGTGGGCTCCTGAAGACAGAAATAGAGAAACATATTTTTAATTCATGGAGAGCTCATTGTTCGTGAATCTCTTCTGTTATAAAGAATAGAAATGGTCCATGCATGGTGGCACATTCCTGTAGTACTAGCTACTCGGGAGGCTGAAGTGGGAGAATCTATTGAGCCCAGGAATTCTGGGCTATAGTGCGCAATCTCAATAGGGTGTCCGCACTAAGTTCGGCATTAATATAGTGACCTCCGAGGAGCTGGGGACCACCAGGTTGTCTAAGGATGGGTGAACCAGCCGGATAGGAAACAAAGCAGGTCAAATCTCCCATACTGATTAGTAGTGGGATCACGCCTGTGAATAGCCACTGCACTCTATCCTGGGCAACAAAGCGAGAGACACCCCGTCCCCCGCCCTTGATCTCAAAAAAATTAATAAATAAACATAAAAAAGAATAAAAATGGGTGGACTTTTCCTGCAGGTTTTAGTTCTTTTATCTGTGAGTGTGAGGTAGCAGGTAAACAGGTGGTGCTGACACCTTTAAAGGCATTTTCGCAAGATGCTAGTGTAAATCTAAATAGGAGTTTTAAATAAGGCAAAAGAGAAAAAAATGGCTTTTTTTTTTTTTTTTTTTTTTGAGACGGAGTTTCACTCTTGTTACCCAGGCTGGAGTGCAATGGCGCGATCTCAGCTCACCGCAACCTCCGCCTCCTGGGTTCAGGCAATTCTCCTGCCTCAGCCTCCTGAGTAGCTGGGATTACAGGCACGCGCCACCATGCCCAGCTAATTTTTTGTACTTTTAGTAGAGACGGGGTTTCACCATGTTGACCAGGATGGTCTCGATCTCTTGACCTCGTGATCCACCCGCCTCGGCCTCCCAAAGTGCTGGGATTACAGGCTTGAGCCACCGCGCCCGGCCTGGCTTTTTTTTTTTTTTTTAAGCTAAATATGTCTCAGAGAAAGAGCTATGTCCACTTTGCCTCCTGGAGTGCCAAGCATTTAGTCCTTGCAAACCTTTACTTCCCTACTTGTGTTTCTTTTCCCCTAGTTGAGTTTGTTTTAACTATTATTTAAAATCCTTTTGATAGTCAAGGGCCTCTGCAAAATATTTCTCTCCTATATCCCAGAGCCTTCTCTATAGTCTCTAAATTGTGGCTTTTTTATATGCCATGCACATTTCTCACCATGAATTCGTAATCTGTGATATTAAAAATGTTCCCTTTTTTTTTGTTGAACATGGGAAGATGTGCATACTCAAGATTCCAAATGCAGAAAAGCTGGAGTCTTAGTAAAGATGGAGAACGGGTAATGTTGAGGTTTCATCTGTGTTCTCCATTAACTCTATGCAGAACAGGATTAAGAAAATGCTTATTTAAACAGGATGACATTTATTACCCTGAAAGTTCTGAAAAAAGAGTTATTGAGAGATACTTGCTCTCTAGGGTGATAAAGAAAGACTAAATTGTTATTTAAAATTACAGAACATAAAAGATATCAGCATGTTGGACTCTGCATAAAACTGATTTTTCTGTATGGTTAAATTCAGAGTATAATTTACTTCTTTTTTTTTTTTATTTCCCAGAACAGATGCCTGCCAAATATAATTTACTTCTTGAGGGGCAGTATCTCAGCAGTGATGCTGTGTTCTCTGTGCATCAGCACATCATAAAAGTGCAGTTGATTTTTAAATTTACTTAAAGAGCTCTCTGAAATATTTATTTTACTATAGAGTTTTTTTTTCTCTTCATTATTAAGTATGTTTATGTAGCTAAAGAAGAGCTGTGCATAAACCATCACATTTAATCTGGCAGCTGCCTTTCTTTTTTTGCATATCTCTGTCTTTGGAAAATAAAGACTCTTACCTTTCTTTACAGGCCAGAAAAACTGGGTAATAAAACACAGGTTCTTCCACTTAATGGATGTTTGACAAAATATTCTTGTTGTGCCAAACACATTGGTGTTGCTAGTGAGCTTGTTAGAAATTCAGAAACTCAGAATTTATTTCAGATGCTCTGAAAAAGAAAAAATCTGCACAAGATCTCCAGTTTATTGTACACATTAAAACTTAAGAGGTGACTTCTAACTCAACATGTCCTTTTTGTCTGAAAAACATGCACAACTCATTCTTTGTGATGCAAATATAGCACTAAAAATGTACATGTTTATGTTTATGCCTTTAGCTTTATACTGTATTATTCATTAGTGTATCATATATACACTAGTGTTGTGTATCTTAGAGCATTCTCTCTCAAGAGTTAGAGAATACATTAAAGAATATTTCTGTGTTAAAAATTGTTGGATAATTTCAGTCATTCCTATAAGTCAGAACCAATATTCTTTACTTTCTCATTTAAGTATAATTTAAGTGATAAATTCTGCCTATGGACACTTGTAAATGTGTATGTGTGTGCATGTGTGTGTGTGTGCGCGTATGTGTGTTTTTCAGGGGCCGTTGACATTTAGGGATGTGGCCATAGAATTCTCTCTGGAGGAGTGGCAATGCCTGGACACTGATCAGCAAGATTTGTATAGAAAAGTGATGTTAGAGAACTACAGAAACCTGGTCTTCTTGGGTGAGAATAACTATAATACACAATTTCTTATATACTCCAAAAGTTTCATTTCTCTATTTTTGTAGAATAATTTCTGGTAATTTATGCTTTTCTTTCCTTCTTTCTTTTTTTTTTTTTTTTTTTTTTTTTTTTTTTTTTTAACTTTTTTATTATTTTAAAGATGGGGTTTCTCCATGTTAGTTAAGGTGGTCTCAAACTCCTGACCTCAGGTGATACACCTGCCTTGGCCTCCCAAAGTGCTGGGATTACAGTAGTGAGCCACCACACCCAGCCAATTTATGCTTTTCATGAGTGAATTTATAATCCCTTTTTTCAGAAAGTCTTGAGATATTGTCTACATAGAGAAAACTTCTTCAAGATGTTTTATCTTGGCCCGAACTTTTTACATTCCTGAATTGGTCTGTAATCCTCACTCTAGAGTAGTGGTAATTTCAGAAATTTAGTGGTATAAAATATTGTTGACCCTATGTTAAAATAGATTTGCCACCACTAATTTTTGACTTAGAGTACTGGGTAGTGAAATTAAGGACCTATAAATTTAAAATATTTTCTAAATGTTAAGAACCTTCTGTCATTAAATAGTATTTTGGGATTAATTTTCTAGAATGTTCTATGACATCCTTTTTA